AATTCTGTGCCCTCCCCTTCGGGCTGTCCACCGCTCCAAGAACTTTCACAAAGTGTACGGTTCCTGTGGCTGCCTACCTTTGTCTGCACAATATCACAGTCTTTCTGTATATAGATGATTGGTTGATAGTAGCAGGGTCATACTCCGCAGCCCGAAGGGACTTTGCCTTTGTTCTTCAGACTCTGGAAGAACTCAGTTTGCAAGTCAATTTCAATAAGTCTCATCTCAAACCATCGCAGATCATAAATTACATTGGGGCATATCTCAGTTCGATCAAGACCAGAGTTTTTCTCCCTCATGAACAGATCTCCAAACTGAAGAGAGCTATTCGCCGTTTCCAACCTCGTGCCATGGTTTTTGCTCAGCACACACAACATTTCCTAGGCTTGATGGCCTCGACCACTTCTGCGCTCCAACATGCAAGACTCAAGATGCAATCTTTGCAGGCCTGGTTCCTGTTCCTGTTTGACCCCCTGTTAGATCATCCTTCAAAACGTCTTCTTGTCACTCTGGAGTTAGCTCACCAACTCACTTGGTGGACCTTCGTCCTGCACCTCCTTGTGTGCCATTCTTTTCAACCTCTTCAACTGACAATACAGATCACGACAGATGCCAGCCCAGTAGGATGGGGCACACACTGTGACGATCACAAAATTCATGCTGTATGATCTAACTCAGAAAAGGTACTGCATGTCAACCACCTAGAAACGCTGGCAGTCATCAAGGCTTTACAAGCTTTCCATCTCTTCATGGCTAGTCGCGGAGTCCATGTTACCACAGACAATATGACCACTCTGTATTATATAAACAAACAAGGGAGTACTCACTCACTGGCTCTTCTATACCTTGCGATCCAGCTATGGGAATGGAGCTACGACCGCACGTCTTCCCTGTGGTCATTCATATATCTACAGAGGACAACGCAGTTGCTGACTGAGCCATCTGACCACCCAAACCCACAAGTGGGTTCTCTATGACTCTACCTTCCACCATCTCTGCAACCAATGGGGAACACCAAATCTTGTCATTTTTGCCACCCAGACCAACTCGAAATGCAGCAACTACTGCTCTTGAGCGAGACGCGGCGTGAACTCACTAAGCAACACCTTCATGGTAGACTTGGGCAATGTCTTTCTCTACCTTCCCCCCCATTCTTCTTATCAAGCAGACAATAGTCAAGCTCTGCCAGCTGCAAGCAATCTTAATAGCACCATGGTGGCCTCAACAACCCTGGTTTACTCCTCTCAGGGCCATGGCAGCCAAATTCCTGAGACAGCCTCTTAGCTCACCAACTCACTTGGTGGACCTTCATCCTGCATCCTGCACCTCCCGACCTGAAGAGGCTGTCTCAGCCAAATTCCTGAGACAGCCTATTCAGCCACACCTGCTGACTCAGAACGATGACCATGTTTGTCATCCCGACCTGAATCTAACTCAGAAAAGGTACTGCATGTCAACCACCTAGAAACGCTGGCAGTCATCAAGGCTTTACAAGCTTTCCATCTCTTCATGGCTAGTCGCGGAGTCCATGTTACCACAGACAATATGACCACTCTGTATTATATAAACAAACAAGGGAGTACTCACTCACTGGCTCTTCTATACCTTGCGATCCAGCTATGGGAATGGTGCTACGACCGCACGTCTTCCCTGTGGTCATTCATATATCTACAGAGGACAACGCAGTTGCTGACTGAGCCATCTGACCACCCAAACCCACAAGTGGGTTCTCTATGACTCTACCTTCCACCATCTCTGCAACCAATGGGGAACACCAAATCTTGTCATTTTTGCCACCCAGACCAACTCGAAATGCAGCAACTACTGCTCTTGAGCGAGACGCGGCGTGAACTCACTAAGCAACACCTTCATGGTAGACTTGGGCAATGTCTTTCTCTACCTTCCCCCCCATTCTTCTTATCAAGCAGACAATAGTCAAGCTCTGCCAGCTGCAAGCAATCTTAATAGCACCATGGTGGCCTCAACAACCCTGGTTTACTCCTCTCAGGGCCATGGCAGCCAAATTCCTGAGACAGCCTCTTCAGCCACACCTGCTGACTCAGAACGATGACCATGTTTGTCATCCCGACCTGAAATCTTTACACCTCATGGCATGGAGAATCCCCCCATCTTAGTTGAGGTACTGGACAAAGCTAGGAGCGCCTCTACTAAATTGTTGTATTCCTATGTGGTTTTGTTGCATCAAGAGATTTATCAGCTTTATACCCTCCTCTTTTTTCTTCATCACCTGTTTGATCAAGGTTTGGCCCACTCCACATTGAAAGTTTGTATTTCTGCAATAGTATCCTATCAGCCTACTGGATCCAAGGCCTCTCGTCTATTTTCCCACCCAACTCTCAAAATGTTTCTTAGAGGCTTGTGGAACATTGGCCCACCTGTGCGACCTCCACTCCCTCAGTGGTCCCTCCAAGTTGTTCTCTGTGCTCTCGCTCGGCCTTCTTTCAAACCCATGGCCTCGATACATCTCAAACTTCTCTCTCTCAGAACTATTTTTCTTGTAGCTATAACTTCTGCACGTCAAGCAAGCGAGCTTAATGTCCTTCAGGTTGACATTCTTTATATTCAGTTTTATTCAGACAAAGTTGTCTTGTACCCAAACTTCACCTTCCTCCCTAAAGTGATTTCAGATTTCCATGTTAATCAACCTTTGATTCTTCCAACGTTTCCATCTCCTTCTTTCAGCCACACCTGCTGACTCAGAACGATGACCATGTTTGTCATCCCGACCTGAAATCTTTACACCTCATGGCATGGAGAATCCCCCCATCTTAGTTGAGGTACTGGACAAAGCTAGGAGCGCCTCTACTAAATTGTTGTATTCCTATGTGGAATGTTTTCTCTAGATTTGTTGCATCAAGAGGTTTATCAGCTTGATACCCTCCTCTTGTTTCTTCATCACCTGTTTGATCAAGGTTTGGCTCACTCCACATTGAAAGTTTGTATTTCTGCAATAGTATCCTATCAGCCTACTGGATCCAAGGCCTCTCGTCTATTTTCCCACCCAACTCTCAAAATGTTTCTTAGAGGCTTGTGGAACATTGGCCCACCTGTGCGACCTCCACTCCCTCAGTGGTCCCTCCAAGTTGTTCTCTGTGCTCTCGCTCGACCTTCTTTCAAACCCATGGCCTCGATACATCTCAAACTTCTCTCTCTGAGAACTATTTTTCTTGTAGCTATTACTTCTGCACGTCAAGCAAGCGAGCTTAATGCCCTTCAGGTTGACATTCTTTATATTCAGTTTTATTCAGACAAAGTTGTCTTGTACCCAAACTTCACCTTCCTCCCTAAAGTGATTTCAGATTTCCATGTTAATCAACCTTTGATTCTTCCAACGTTTCCATCTCCTTCTTCTGATGTTGAGCTCATGCTGCACCCCTCAATGTTCGTTGCACCTTAGCATTTTATGTTTCCCAGGACTAAAGATTTTCGCCCTTCTCCCAGACTCTGTGTGCTTCCATGGCCCACAGAAAGGTTCTCCAGCCTCTTCACAGACAGTCTCGGGGTGGATTGTCTGTGTCATTACTTTGGCTTATGACTTGGCAGGCAAAGCTTCACCAGATGTGCTAAAAGTGCACTCTACAAGAGCAATGGCCACCTCCATTGCCTGGCTGTGTGGCATTGAAGTCCCTGACATCTGTCAAGCGGCCACTTGGTCAACTCCCTCAGCTTTTGTGACACATTACCGCCTGGGCGTCAGGGCCAAGAAAGAAGCAAGTTTCAGAAGGGCCATGCTGACTTCATTGCTGGCGTGATGGCTCTCTTTCTGGTAAGTGGGCTTGCTAGTCACCCATTTGTGTGCATTCACAGAGCCCACAAAGAAGAAAGAGAAGTTACTTACCTGTAACCATAGTTCTTCAAGTGGTCCTCTGTGAATCCACACATCCCACCTATCCTCCCCTCTGTCCGTCACTTAAGTGTCTGACCTTTGTTTCGGTCAGAGTCTTGACAGCGGCAGACATTTTCGGAACTGAGGTATTACGGGTGGGCGGAGCATGCACACCACGGGGCAGTGTCCTACTAATCACATCTTTTAAAGCTCTAGAATATTCCAAGAAGTCCTGCGCAGGGGCAGTAAGACCCATTTGTGTGGATTCACATAGGACCACTCGAAGAACTATGGTTACAGGTAAGTAACCTCTCCATCTTTTCCATGAAACCTTGCCCATAACTTCTAGTTTCTGAGTTCTTTGTATCCTTGCCCTTCACATTTTGCAGCATCTGTATTATGTGCCTCCTTCTTTCAAAATCTCATGGTTTGTTAGAATATCTGTGTCCTTTGATTCCCACAGGACCTTTGAGCAGAGTCCTGTGGGTGAATGTGGAGACTTGTGTTCAGTCATAACAAATCAAAGCTGAAACTGGTTCTAACTTCTCTTTTAGCAATGATTGTAAATATCTCTTAGGGATAGTCTTCAAAAGCCATGGTAATACTCCATATATTCAGTTTGTGTAAAATTACATTTAAACAGCATGAGTGATGTTGCACTCCTTGCTAATGGCTGAAATCCTGCTGCTGAGTGCAGTTAAGTTGTACAAGAGAGGGCCCATTGAATCAGTGGGAATTTGTTGAATCAATTCTTCCATAAGTTCCATTGATTCAAATGGGCCTACTGTAGTTGTGACTTTCATTAGCATATTAACAGCATTTCAGCCATTGAGAAAGATTTGTCAGTAAGAATTTTTGTGGAAATTTTATTAATATAATCCCATTTTTCAAAATTCAGTGCTTTTCTTTTAGCCTGTGGGTCTGAGTTGATTTTATTTTAAGGCACTCATTGGGCAGATCTGTTTACTTTCCCAACTAAAGTCGAGACATTGAATGAATTGACCTTTTTGTTTTAACCCTAAACTATGTCCCATATATTCATTAGGCCTACTCTAGTTTGGACTGAGCTCCTCGCTTTTCGTCCTGCCTTTTACAGCACACTAATGATCACTTTCTGTGAACTTAAAGCCACCTCTTGTTTCACTTTTCCTAGATGCCAGAATTCCAGAAGAAACCTGTCCATATCAAGGACCCTGAGAGGGTGGAAGAAATTATCTGTGGCCTCATCAAGGGAGGAGCTGCCAAACTTCAGGTAAAATGCAAAACGTATTTGTAGAAATTCCAACATCATGTAGCAATGCCAACTGCATTGGCAAAATCTGAAGATATAAGCAAGGTCCCCCGAGTCATAGTATTTATACAATAATGATAAATGCTAAATTGTTTAATATTCAGTAATTAAATTGACAGTGAGTAGAATCCTACTAGTAATTCCAGTGTGTAGCTTGTCTGTGTGAGGGAGTTTTAGTAATCCCCAGTTTGCAGTTATGAAAGCTAGAGTTTGCCCTTTTGAAAATGAGAGGGCTTATGCCTGTGCCAAGAGTGGTGAATACCTGTCTAATAGGTGAAAAAGATGGCTACATACACAATGGGCCATTGTGCACACAGAAACAAACAAACAAAGAGGATTTGGGTCAGTGGCTGTTCTAGTGGCTTCACAAAAAGCAAGAAAGTCCTCAATGCAGAGGGAACTCCCTTCTTGCTGCCCACAGACCTCAGTGTCCCATCTCTTTTAGAGCAGGAAAGCATATACAAATCTATACATGAAAAACTTCTGAAATCTTCTCCTTTTCTCATCAGTTTTACACCTCTTTCAGCCACCAGGAATTACCACACCTCAGCTAGTTGTGTCCTTTCCAATAATTGTTTTAAAATAAATGATACTAGTTTTATTTCAGTGTAACTAAATCTTAGCGGCAAGGACAGGTTTGGAAAGTTTTGTTTTTGTTCTTCCCTAACTATCATAAGTGATTACATATTAAGTTAAATCTTGATTCATCTTTACGATGCTTCACTAAAACAGACTGATTTTATCAGCCTGCCTTGAAGTTGGATTATTTTAATAAACATATATTTGTCCCAGATTGAAATTTAACACTGTTCTCCTGTTAATCAAAAACATAGTTGATTGGCTGTGCCAGAGGTGGAGTGGTTAGCATATAATCCCACAATTCACATAGGTTTCTCTGTATATGTATAGGCTGAAATCCAGTAGCATGTTACAACTACCGAAGACCTATTGAATTATTGGAATTTACATAAGTGTTGCCAAATCCCTACTAATTCCGTGGACTTATTTTAATTCCAATTTACATTTGGATTTTAGCTGTAGTAATTTATGCAGATACAGCTATCTGATATATCTTATTGATTTGTTGCATGTTTCAAGTGTAGGAATTTGGTTTAACGTTGTAGACATCATTTATAACTTGTTTCTTCCTCTTTTTTAGATAATTACAGACTTTGATATGACATTAAGTAGATTTTCTTATAATGGCAAAAGGTGTCCAACAAGCCATAGTGAGTATTATTTATTGTTTATATGTTTGTATGGAAGTTTAATTTTATCAAGATTAATGTTACAATCCCTCTGGAGACAATACCGCAACTGAAAAGGAAGTACAGTGATGCCTTGCTTAACGGGCACCTCACTTAACGACGAATCCACATAGCGACGGATTTTTTGTGATCGTTTTTGCGATCGCATAATGATGTTTCTAATGGGAAAATATCGCTTTGCGATGATCGGTAAGCATTTCGCTTACCGATTTTTGCTTAACGATGTTTTCACAACAGCTGATCGGCGGTTCCAAAATGGCCACCGGCTCAAAAAATGCCCGCCCACTGTGTTTTCGCGCCCATTCCTCGCTTACCGGGCAGCAAAAATGGCGGCCGTATGGAGGATTTTCGCATTAAGGTGAGTTTTTTGCCCATAGGAACACATTAAATGGGTTTTAATGCATTCCTATGGGCGTTTTTATTTCGCATAGCGACGAATCCATATAGCGATGATTTTGGCTGCACAGATTATCGTCGCTATGCGGGGCACCACTCTATTTGGGAGAAGACATGTAGGATTGCTCTGATAATTATAGTAGATTAGTTTTAAGTGACTATTCAATTTAGATTTATAGCTATGAAGATTGTCAGTCATCCAGGTGAGGTTAATCTGGAAGGTGAGTCATGGCAACTGGACTTCTTTCTTGTTAAGTTGAAATGTTTCTCGATACTCATTCAAGTAGTTTCTTCGGTCTGAAGAAGCTACTGGGATGAGTATGGAAACATTTCAACCTAACAAGAAAGAAGTCCAGTTGCCATGACTCAACTTCCAGATTAGATTTAGATCACAGATTAGAAAGGCAGTACATGGTACTTGAATACAGGAAGTTCCTCTTGACTTCCTCTCTGTTTCCTAATGTTTGGCTTTCTTTCCAGTTTATTTCTTGCCTGATCTTTGACCTGTTATACTGTCTCACCAAATGTTCATTATTTATTGACACAGTATTATTCCAGATTTATCTGTGGGGATTCAAAATTCGAATGATTTTTGTGTGTGTGTGAAGAACAATCAGTTTCATATCTGGAGTAAGTGCAATAAAATTGCTTGACATTACTGCCACATGCCTAAATATGTGCAATTCTGAGATTTTTGTACTTAAATATTTACTTTTCAAATACCTTCTTAGCCAGTAACTTACTCAAAACTAATGTTTGATAATATATCTTAACTTACTCATTTTAACTTACTCAAAACTAATGTTTTAAGTTAAAATGGTTAAAGTGATTATGGTGTTACGTCATTGTTGTATGCCATCAAGTAGTTCTTTCAACGCTAGTCAGGGTTTTTAAATGAGAAGTTCAAAGGGTGTTTTACTTTTGTCATACATGTCGCAGTGCTATTCATGGCCAAATGACAATTTGAACCCAGGCTTGAGTGTTGTCTAACGTTCTGTCCACTACACTATGCTGGCTCTTGTTAAACTGAGATAAGAAATTTAATTTCGTGTTTTTCAGACATCATTGACAACTGTAAACTCATAACAGATGAAAGTCGCAAGAAGGTAATTTTAAAACTGGTAACTTTCTTTTTTTGCCCATTAATTACTGCTGATGTGTTTGGTTAGTTTCTGAAGGTGTTAGCATCAAACTGGTTGGTTTCATTAAGAACTGGCACAGAATGTACTTTGAATTTCTTTCCCATGAGTCCATTTCTTTTCTGAATGTATATTTATATCTGTAGTTCTATATTTGACAACTAAGAGTAATTATATATGTGATAAAATTTGCACCAATCCAAAATAGTTTATGACCACAATGTCTGCTAATCCTCAATTTCTGTCATTGCTCTAGTTTGCTTTTTTCTTATACTTATTATTATTATATGAATTTGACTTTTGAGGTAGAAAACTAAAGTCCTTCATTGAAAAGTATCTGGCATGTGGGGTTACTGCTTCATTTTGATTTGAAGGCTTTAGCCTCTGAGCATCAGGGGAGGTAGTCCTCCTCATGTACAAACTGTTGCCTGACCTACAAAAGTCAGGAACTGGCTCCTCTACACATGGTAGCATACAAGTATTATGTTAGCAAATTAATTTTAATATTTGTACATAGCAGTGAAATTATAATGGTAATGGAATACAAAAAATAAATACAACCTGTTTTCTTTCCAGTTATTCCAACTGAGAGAAATATATTATCCTATTGAAATTGATCCTAGCCTTACAATTGAAGAAAAATATCCTTACATGGTTGAATGGTGAGTTTATGAATGGTGACCAATTCCATTTCTGAAATGGTTAATGTTAGCTGATGTTTATTTCTTAATTATTAAATGGACAAGGTTACCAAACCAGACTTCTGATTACTTTTCAGCTCAAATTTTTTTTCATTACAAACCCACAAAAGCAGCATAAAATAAAATAAATTCTAAAATTAAACTTGACCAAGAGCAGCCATTTTATTCAATTTTGTTTTGAGCATACCATTATGTTCTAGAGATTCTGATCAAACTGCTAAAGATTTAGCCTCTGAACTGAAATATTTTGCCAAGTCCCTCCCTCCGGCAGCAGTTGCCAAGGTTTCAAGCAATTTGGAAAGATCTGTCAGCAGAACTGTCAGATCAGAAAAGATCTCTTCTGGCAGCAGTTGGCAAAATGAACCCCACTAATCCCAAATTTAAAAACGGATTATATCAAAATGTTGCCTTGTCGTCTGTTGTAGATGTTCAGATCCATTTTGCCAAAGTCTGTGTGTATGTGCGATGTGGCATCAAGCCATAACCCAATTTACAACAATTCTAATAAAATATTTAAGGCAAGCAGTATATTTGAGGAGTAGTTTTAAATGCACACACTTGCCAGTGAGTTTCCATAGCCAAACAGGGATCTGAACGCAGTAACACATGCACACACCCTCGTCCCTGGGGCTCTTCTACAGACCCCAGATATTTTTCTTTACAAAACATTTGTCCACTAGAGGGCACTAGAGGGCTTTTTTCAGTTAAAAGCCCAATTTTTTAAGGGGAGGAAATTTCTTGGGGAATCACAGGAGTGGATGTAGACTTCCAAGATCCAGAGGTGGACTAGTGTGGCCCCTGGAGCTATAAAGGTTGTCCATTCCTGGTTTGGTGTTATGACAGTAATCCCCAAGACTTGGATTTATATGTTCCCAACGAATGTGTTAGTCACAGTTGCATGGAGGACATTGGATGCTTCCATTTCTTTTTCACACTAATCAGATTTTGGCATTTTGTTCAAACCTAAGCTAGCTAATACTTACAGTTTATTTGTTTGTTTATTAAAACAAACCAGTTCATCGACAGTTATTTATTTGAAAGTGTTGTTTTTTTCAGTTTACCAGTAATAAGATTAATTACAATTTGAATAACACAGTAAAATAATCTGAAGCAGAAGCAGAAGATACTTAGCTTCTCAGATTTCTAAGCTTCTGTGCCACACTGGCATGAGGGGAACATGGATGTTCAAGGTTTATTGTGACATTAAACGGTACTTCAATCACATATGTTAACCAGTTCATTGTAACGCCTCATGTCAAGTTGATCTCTTTGCCTTGATAACTGTGGAGAACCCATGTTGCCACAGATGCTGGTGTTGATTGAAACCGCCTTCAAATTAGTTCATTTCATTGCTGATACAGATTTATTGCAATAAACATATAATGCAAATAAATTCTGATTTCAACAATAATATTTTTAAGCAAGTAAAAAGAGACAGCTTGCAAAAGTGAACCCCAAAGAAGTGAATACAACCCACTGCAATGTTTCTATAGGAAAAGATTGAATTGTGCTCTGTATAACCCTCTCTTTATGGGATGAAATTAGTACAGTTACTTCTACTGGATAATTTTGTAACAAGACAGTCAAATTGCACATCTAAAAATTACACTATTTTGCAAGACATTTCACTGTTTAAACAAGACAGTCAAATTGCACATCTAAAAAATTAGGCTATTTTGCACGATATTTCACTGTTTAAAGAGTTGTCTTGTTTTGCCTTGTTTTTCTTCATTTTATCCAAATATCTTCTGTATCATGGTGATTGTAAGACCGCGGCATGCACAGAGGGCTTTTTTCTATCCAGCAAAATTAGAAGAGACTCAGATGTCTGTCTGAACATATCCTTCTTTGAGTAAGAAATACATTACTGGCCAGAATCCTGTTGGTGTTCTCATATATTTTGTGTAACCACCTTGACTAATTGCAGCTAATGATGAAGTGCTGTGGTGCATCTCAGTCATATGCTTGACTGTACATCCAAGAAGTTACACAAATCTTATGCAAACACTAAAAGGATGTTGGCCAATGAATTTCCAGCCTGAATACACCTAAACAAGGTGTATGTTTTGTTTATTTTTAATCTTAGGTACAACAAATCACATGCTTTACTTATTGAACAAGGATTGCAAAAGGACAAATTTGCTGAAATTGTGAGGGAGTCTGATGTTATGTTGAAGTAAGTAAGCATCTAGTGTTCTGTTTCCTGTTATTTCATACTCGTGCATAATGTCAGAGTTTAGGAGGGAAAGATAGCTGATAATAGTAGAAATGGAAAGCTGCACTCAAATCACTTGTCCATTTGTTGAATATGGACCAGTTCTTGCCTTGCCTTACCCAATTCCTGCATAAAGAGCTTCTACATGCTTGGTTTTCATGTTGCGTCTATAACTCCAATACAGAAAAGACTGATGGCATAGATACATTCTGTCATAAGACACAGGATGAACAAAAGCAACTTGCATTCCACCACCACAACATAAATCCCTAATTTTGCATAGGGTATCGGATGATAAGTTTTTGTGTTTTATCCAAATAAAACAGACACAACTGCATTACAGTTAATGGCAGCAGTGCTTCCTTCTCATATTTGTGTTTTCTGAAGCTATTTTTCTTTTTATCTTTGTCTTGTTTTATGTTGCATGATGCTCACAAAGTTAACTGTTTTTATCTGTAGAAATGGAGTAACATTTATTAAGGTATAGCATATTTGTGCAATATAGTGGTGCCTTGACGTACGAACTTAATTGGTTCCGGAACGCCGGTCATAACTCAAAATGGTCGTAAATTGAAGCACCATTTCCCAAAGGAATGCATTGAAATGCAATCACACACACCCCACCAACGAAAAAAATCACACACACACCCAAAAAAACCCACTGCGAGACCCATCGGAAACGTGATTAATCTGTTCTGGCCGGGGGGAAAGAAAAGAAAAGCAAACCATGCAAGACCCTTCAGAAATGCAAAAAAAGCAAAACAAAACGCAAGTTGAAATGCAATTAATCCGTTCCCACCAACGAAAAAAATCACACACACACCCAAAAAAACCCACTGCGAGACCCATCGGAAACGTGATTAATCTGTTCTGGCCGGGGGGAAAGAAAAGAAAAGCAAACCATGCAAGACCCTTCAGAAATGCAAAAAAAGCAAAACAAAACGCAAGAGCTACCAACTTCGGAAATGCAAAAAAAGCAAAACAAAATGCAAGAGCTACCAAGAAGCAGCCTCTTCACCACCAACGGTTAGCAATTTGAATTCCCAGCCTTTTTTCCCTGCCTTTTTCTGTTCGTAAGTGGAAGCTCTGGTCGCAAGTAGAAGCAAAATTTTGCAGCCAGAGCTGGTCGTAACTTGAAATGGTCATATGTCGGGACGTTCGTAAGTTGAGGCACCATTATAATTGGTTTTTGGGAAAACTTGGATTATGGCTTTAAAACACAGTGGCCGAAAGCCTGTTGCTTAAGCATAAGTCACAACTGGAACATAACCCGATTTGAATCAGTGGAACTAACGAAGGAATTGATTTACCAAACCCTCACATATTCTATGGGCCTGTTACATCTATGTGCAGACAACAGGATTTCAGCCAACATATATTTGATACAACGTTTTCAGTTTTGGTCATGATTTCAAGTGTGCCAGCATCTTGCCTATGTTTTCAGTGTTACAGAAATGGTTAAATTTCTATTTTGGCAGTCACAGAATGGAATGTTGTCAGATTTTAGTGTTTTAGAAACACCTTCCTGTTTTACAGAGAAGGGTATGAAAGTTTCTTCGATAAACTCCATGAGCATAATATTCCTGTATTCATATTTTCTGCTGGAATTGGAGACATCTTAGAAGAAGTTATTCATCAAGCAGGCGTCTACCATTCCAATGTCAAAGTAGTTTCCAATTTCATGGATTTTGATGAGAATGTAAGTAAAAAAGTGTAAAATGTAAAGCTTTAATTCAATGTAGCATTATACAATCTATTGAGTTTGCTCAGGTTTAAATCAAAACAGAAAAATGGGGTTTAATTATTTTGCATTTTAATTTCCATAGGTAGACTAAATTTGGTAGAGCAAAGATGCTATTCCTATGAAAAACAATTTGTTGTTTCCTGTCAATAATTTGTTGTTCTCATTATAATAATCTGCATATAACCGGAATGGGTTGAAAGAATTAAGTTTCGTAGAAACATAATAAAGACAACTCAATGACACTTCCGTATTTGCTTACAAAGTTTTGGAACTAACTTTTATCATATCTAACAGGGTATATTAAAAGGATTTAAAGGGGAACTAATTCATGTTTACAACAAACATGATGGTGCTTTGAAGAATACAGAGTACTTCAAGCAGTTAAAGGACAATAGTAACATTATATTGCTCGGAGATTCCCAAGGAGATTTGACTATGGCAGATGGAGTGGCAAATGTTGAACACATTCTTAAAATTGGTTATCTCAATGATAAAGTAAGTTTATAAACTTAAAATCTTTGATACATTAAAACATTAACTAGTCATTAAAGTTAGCCTTCATGTGTTTTAGGAGTTTCTCAAGTTTTATAATCACAACATAATTCACAGGTAGAAATTTGAACCCCTGTATCTCATTTGTCTGTCCTCAATAGTAAAGCTGTTTTCTCGTCTGTTTGCCAGATTAAAAATCATTGGTACAGTATTTTTCAATACCTTATTAACAGACTGAAATAACTTTTATGGAATGGCTATTATAATTTGGTCCATTATTTGGTGGAATGGTTGAGCACATTATTTCCCTCTCAAGATGGCCACATATGTCAGCAGTGCTTTAAACAAATATTTAATCTTGAGCATCTGAATCTTGTGTTAACTGTCTAACCAATCAGATATCTAACCAGTAAACATATATTAGAGCAGCATTTTCAAAGCTAAATACAGTGGTGCGTTGCAGAACGAGCGCACCGTAGAGCGATGAATTCGCTCTACAGTGACGCTTTTTCAATCACTAATGCGATCGCAGAGCGATGGCCCTTGTGTTAACTGTCTAACCAATCAGATATCTAACCAGTAAACATATATTAGAGCAGCATTTTCAAAGCTAAATATAAGTAAAAGCTGGTACAAATGTGTACCTTTGTGAGGTACAGAATTTCAAGATTATTATGCACCATATTTTTGACATTATATTCCCAAAGTGTAATCACCACGTAGTGGTTCACATGTGATGGAAATTAGATATGTTCTTGAAGAGCTATCAAGGAAGAACATTGCAAAGGCCTCAGATATATCAATTTTGGCCATTTTTCCACATCATACTAAATCACTGTTCAATACAATGTGGACAAGAAGGAAGGAGTGGCAGCGGACTTTGGGCTAGCATGCTTTTCCCTTCTCTTCTTCTACGTAGAAAGAAACACTTTGCTTTACAAAACAAATTGTAGTCAATATGGACTGTCGTTAGTTTCAGAAATTGCAACTTCAAACCACAGTTACTAAAGACTAAGTACAGTTTATGTAAACTGAAATTCTTTGTCCAGATGGTATGGGGATGGTTGGTTACCAAAACATTTCCAGACGCCTCCTCATGGCTGCATGGGAGGTGATAAAAGAAAGAGCATGTGGGCCACAGGTTTATTGCAGTTAGTTCCTACTTACTCTTATTATGACAAACTATGATGTTGACAGAGGGGTTTCTTTTTTTTTTCTGTCAAGAAACTTGCTCTCTTTTCTGAAAACAGTTTCACTACATGCTAGCAGTGAAAGATTAAAAAAAAGATAAAGATACTTCTCATTGACCTAGGCTATAATCCTTATAGTAAGATTAGAATCTGAAGCAACTTTAATGCAGTAGTTTAGTCCTACACTCCCACATTCTGGAGCCCTCAATAGCTTACCTACCATGAAAGGGATCCCACAAAGAGCCTTGGGAGCATGAGGAGGACTTGGAAATTTTTTATTTCTAAAAATTGTTGTGATCATAGACATCATCATTCTTAGGCAGTATAAGCTATGGAAGAGGATTTCAGCCATTGTAGACTGAGTCTTGAAAATACGCTAAGTGGGATTTGTGTATAATTTAATCTAAGTAAAAGATTTAATCTATTTAAAGATTTTGTATACCTTGGTTCAATCATAATCCAAATGGAGAGTGCATCCAAAAATTGGAAAACTGGGACTAGGAAAGGCAGCAATGAAGGAATTAGAAAAGATCATCATGTAAGGATATGTTGGAGACCAAGGCCAAGGTCATCCATACTTTTATATTTCCAGTCACCTTGTACGGGTGTGAAAGCTGGACTGTTAAGAAGCCCGTATGGGTGTGAAAGCTGGACTGTTAAGAAGCCTGCCAGGAGGAAAAATGATTTGTTCAAAATATGACACTGTAAGAGACCTTTGTGGATATCCTGGATTGCCAATGAGAACTAGACCAAATCAAGCCTGAATTGTCTATGGAGGCAAAAATATTGAAACTTAGGCTATTTTGCTTTGGGCACATCATGAGAAGACAGGATTCCCTGGAAGAGACAATAATGCTGAGGAGTGGAAGACAGTAGAAAAATAAGAAGGCCAAATATGAGATGGACTGACTCCCTAAAAGAGGCCATGGGTGTCAGTCTGCAAGAGCGGAGCAGGGTGGCTGATAGGACATTTTGGAGAGTTCTCATTCATAGGATTGCCATGAGTTGGAGGTGATTTGACAGCACATGACAATAACAGTCTAAGTCAATGATACAGTTTGCGTTCAAGTTGGCAGTATTGTACCACATTGGAACATTAATTTGAATTACTTTTACCTTTTACCCTAAATTCAAAGGCATTCCCATAGTATTCAGATATGGTGAACATTCTTTTGTAAGAAACATAGACTTACATAGGAATAGAAAAATGGTACTGCTGAAAGAATGATGACCGTATAAATTGTATGTTTCCAGAAGTTTTTGGTTTTTTCTAATCACTTTATTTTTTTACATTTCTATAACCAGGTAGAAGAACTGCTGGAAAAATATATGGACTCCTATGACATTGTTTTGGTGAAAGATGACTCTTTGGATGTAGCTAATTCAATCCTGCAAAAGATTCTGTAACATGCAAGCCTATGATGTCTCAGAATATTACTGTTGATACTGTTTTTCACAGTATTGTAACTTTATTTAGAAAGTAACATACTGTATACATACATGATCATCTGGATATTCCTCTGCTGCTGTTAAACACATTTTACTTTTAACTGCATCCTTTATTTATTAGTTCCAGCATATAGGTTGTATGAGTCACCGAAAAAGGCCTCACTGCGTTTTTATTCATGTCAAATAAAGGGATTATTTCTGAAATAAGTGAGATTTTTGTAGAAAAAGCTCAAGCTGTAATATGTAAGCAAAATTTGTTACCTCACCTTTTAAGTTTGACGTTCAATACTGCAGATTTCTTTATTGACCTGAAATATTTTGTGTTAGAGCACATAAGCATGTTCACTGTGTGCTTATATTAGTTAAGTCTGCACAATAAATTTTACATCATGCTATCCACAATAAGATAATGCTGGATTGGATCTTGTAGAGTGCTTTATTGTAGTATTTGCCTAAGGACATTTTCTGCCTTGTATTTTGAAACTGAATAATTTCTGAAGTCCCTTTTTCTAATTTAGACAAATATGAATAGCACGTGACATTTTCAGTAGCCTTCTAAAGGTTTTTAAAAGCTAACTCTACATGGTACTATTTCAGTATTACCTTATAAACTATGCTGTGGTACATAAACCATTACAAATAAATACCATGTGCTAAAATGCTCTTCATGTGTTTGTCTGCCTCACATATAGTCTGTTATGAAACAGGACAGAGGAAATGCTCTGTGGAAAGCTACAAGGGACTATGCATATGGTAGGTTTTTAAGTGGTTTACTGCGCAGAGTTTAATCAGCAGAGACTACAGCAGCCATAATCCCTTGCAACTCCCACACATCTTAGTCCTTCCCATCCATTTCCGTGTCATCTCCACAGAACAAAAATAGCTGCTAGCATCTGAATTCATAGCTTAAGACCTTGAAAACATGTCAGAACTTTTATTTTTTGAAGAATGAGTCAAAAAGTTTGAATGGGGGAATTCCTCCAGATTTGGGAGCTGTAGGCCAGAAATTAAAAAAAATCCAGTGGCTAATGGTGATCTCCAAAATATCCTATTATGGATAGACATGTTCAGCCCCTAACAACCGAAGCTTGTGATTGCCTTTATGGAATCGAACCTTCTCATAACTTGTCTTCATCTTCTCCTGCTACCTCTAACTTTCACTATATTATCTTTTCCAGAGAGTCTCATCTTTCCATGATGTGCTCAAATAGGACAGCCTCAGTTTAATCATTTTAACTTCCGGTGAGAGTTCAGAATAGATTTGATCTAGAGCCAACTTGTTAATCTTTCTGGTGGTCCATGGTACCTTCTTATCAGCATTCTTCATTGTCTTGCTCCCCCCTCAGCCCGGTTATAGCAAACTTCTACATGGAGCATTTCAAAAAACTTGCCCTGGCTTCAGCACCCCTCACATCCACAGTCTGGTTCCGATATGTGGATGACACCTTTGCAATTTGGAGCCAGGGTGAAGAAAAATTGGAAGAATTTCTCAACCATCTCAACAGCATCCACCCAAATATACAGTTCACCATGGAAAAAGAAATAGAGGACCAACTCCCATTCTTAGATGTCATGGTCCTACGCAAAACTGAGCTCCAACTGGGACACAAGGTCTACAGAAAACCCACCCACACAGACCAGTACCTACACAAAAAACTCCAACCACCACCCACAGCAAAAATGAAGCATAATCAAAACACTGGTAGACCGTGCAAATCGGAACTGTGAAGCTCACTTTCTCAGCACTGAACTCAACCATCTGAATTGGGCCCTACAGGCAAATGGCTACTCCAAAAATGAAATCACAAGAGCCATCAAACCAAGAAAACAACACCGAACTGAAGAAGAAAAACAGCCACCCACAAATAAAGTACTGTATTTCTGCTTATACATCAAATGGTTCACGGACCGCATGGGGAAACTTTTGAAAAAACACAACCTACAAAGAGTATTCAAGCCCACCACAAAAATACAATAAATGTTACGGTCAGCAAAGGACAGAAGGGACCCCCTCACCACTGCAGGAGTACATCGGATACCTTGCAGTTGTGGCCAGGTATATATTAGAACCACAAAACGAAGCATCTACACCAGAATCAAAGAACACAGAGACTGGCGAAACGTTAGGAAGAACAACCTTCAGAACACGGCCAAAGAGCCCAAAAAACCCACACCAACCAATAGATCCTGGCTGTGAAAGCCTTCGCGAAAAACAAAATAAATAGATATAAACCAAATCAACTGCCAGGTTGCACCAACAACAAAAACAAAATTGATATAAACCAAACAACTGCCAACCACTTGAAAAAGGCCCCTTTGTGAATAAGAATAATAGTAATAATAAGAAAAATAATACAAAACTTAATGCTAAAAGTCTTACAATTGAGCAATTATAATATGCAGGAAAAAATAATTATAAACAAAGCAGCACAAAATACCCTCCCCACACTCCCAGCACATCAAAAGCAATCCCCACGAAGCATAAACTAAAATAGAAACCCAAATGCAATACCCCTACCCAAGAGGACTGAATTCTGATGATAAACTGGGGGAGGGGGGAACCACACCAAAAAAAAATTGACTGCACTATACCAAATAAATTAAAAAATAAAATTTGAAAATAAATTGAAAGATAAATTGCAGGGAGACAAAACAATTCCAATGCCAGGTGAAATACCAGGCCAGGGAAGATCTTCATTTTGGATCTGAGCAGAGAGATGTCAGCTTATGAAGGACCCAGTCAAACACTGGAGGTTCAAATGAAAGTCCAACTGTCCCTCCATCCATGCCAGCCTAAATGTTCCAATTCTTGCTTGACAGTTTCATTTGCTTTGAGTCATACTTTGCCCATTCCATGTTCCAGCTGCATGTATTGACTTGTATTGTTCTATGTACAGCACTTGACTTTCTTTTCACCTGCATGCACGTGGGCCACTTAGCAAGAGCACTGTTTGTATTTGTCCTTAGTTGTTCACCTGCCTTTATGAGAATCTCATCTTCCAGCACTCTTATTTTATTTTCTCATGAGGTAAGAAAAGTTCCGCATTTACCATTCCCACCTGTGCAGTACTAACAGAAGTTCACTTGAGTGCCACTGGTGCTCTCCATCAAATATTGTCGTCCAGTGTCACCTTCAAATACTGTAGCTGCCCAGCAATTGCACTCCAGGAGTTTCTCCACCCCCAGTCACCATTGGAACTATCCATTCTGTTCTGTTGCGGTGACTGTTATTTCTGAAGAGAGTGAATGTATCTTAATCGGCTGTCCCAGGTTTGACCACTCCTCCTTAGGTGAACCATCTAGGAATCAAACTCACAACGGAATCTAATTTCTTGAGACTTTAATTTGTCTCATATTTTATGACACACCCTTGATACAAAAAGGGGAAATGTTTAATTGGTACATTTTTAATTATTTGTGAATTTTAAATTTTTTTAACAAACTGCATTGGGCCTCATAAGATGAGAAAAGTGTGTTATTAATTTCTAAAAACTAAAATTTCAGTCAAGGTTGTTTACACTTCTACTCATTCTTGGTCACACATCCACAAACATGTCTTACACGCTGTGTTTGTTAAGATTTATTTAATAAAAATACCAGCTTGTCATCACCTTTGACAAATCTTTATGGCATTATGAGCATTACAAAGTGTGTAAAAAAAGTCACAAAACTTTACTCACCATAGGAAAAAAAATTAAAGCATGCCTTAAAGTTAAAAACTAGCACCATTTTAAGTTAGAACCTTTCACTGCACTGGGAAAGACACTTTGTTCAATATCATTAGTGGCTTTATGTTTCTTAAATTAAACTTTTGGTATGCATCTTTTACACCTGATTTATGTCCTTGTTTTAAAGATCTAGCCACAACTTCAGAAACTGTAGACATGAACAGTGCCTGAAATTTAAAATGAAGTTCACTTTTAAGTTCTTTCAACTGCTTGTAGATGACAAGATTTACCCATATACTGAATATATAGCTATTATGCATCTATTCAGGTTTCAGGTTTCCACTTTTTTCTGTGATATTAATATAAGACTTCTGTAAAGACAAAGTCAAATGGAATTTATGACTGAAATCCTGTTGCTTAGTGTACTAAGTCACGCTATATTAGGCCCACTTAATCAGTGGGGATTTGTTGAATCAACTCCATAAGTTCCATTGTTTCAAATAGGCCTACTTTAGTCGCAACTTACGATACTAAAGTTGACTCACAAAACCCTCACCAGAGTGGGCCTACTCCAGTGTGACTTGGCACACTTAAGCAAAAGGATTTCAGCCTACGTATGTAATCATTTTTCTGTGCACTTCCTTTTGTAATTTATACATGTAGCTACAAATAAAACACTGAAGAAGTATAAATCCCTTGCACTAGCAGAGTACATTATGGAAATCTAATGCATTTCTTTAATGGAAATATGTATCTCTTTTGGGTCACAATACCCTCCTAAAATTCCCACATTTCTAAAAATAAGCTGAAAACTTTGTGTGATTATGGCAGTGTGTATATATTTAATTTAAAAATCGTGAAACCTAATTCTGAGGCACTTCATGATTTATAACAGAAAATCTATGATATAACTCTTGCCAATTTCACACATACAGAGATACGGATATTCATTTCCACTGTACTCAGACATTTTAGACCACTTCTACAGTGCACATATCCTAACAGCAGTTCACCTCATATAAATTTAAACTATGCTACAGTTCATCATGTTCCTGCAGTTCTTCGTCTTTCAGTTTGAATTCTTCAGCGGTAATCTTGCCATCTCCATTCCGGTCTTGATTGGTGAACATATTTTTCACAATTGTTTCAGAATCAAAACCAGGAGCTAGTTTTCCTTTGCCAGAATTGACCTGGTCAAGGATATAGCTGGTAAACTAGGATTAAAAAAGAGAAAAGAAAAAAAGACAAACATTATAGAGACATAAAGTGCTTGAACTGGATACAACTGGTATTCTTCCTACAAACCAAAATAAAATAAAAATACCTGGGGCAAAATTATCTCAGCAATTAGATTACCGCTGGAATTTTTTTTCCATCCTTGCCAATGTATTTTTTGGAACACAAGACAACATATTTTATTTTTTGGCACAGTATTATACAGTAAAGCAAAAGTGGTACACCCCATTTGTCAGTATGTTGACCACATTAGGGGGCAGTGGAGTTCACTGGGATCAAAAAAACACCCCAAGATATAATATAGTTTTTTAATGTGATCTGATTTTATTTTACATTTATTCTACTGTTTATTTTCTGACTATTTTATATGTATATATATTTGGATAGAACAGAATGCACACACAAATACCTCTTGGGCATAGGACTTGTTTATACCCTGAATTCTCTGAAATTCTCACTGGGGTCAAAAATACCCTGCAGCTGAAACAATGTGAGCTTTTAGAAATTTCAATCTATAAAGGACAGCCCTTCAGACACCAATAAATTACTAAACCCATCATCCTGCACAACTGGATAGAAAGACTGTAACTGATTGGAATCAGCATACAATATAACAATAATTTGTCACAGGTTCCCTACATTACTTATACACTAAGAGACTGTGCTGCTACTCCTTTGTGTAGTTTAGCTACAAAATTATTATACAGCGGTGCCTCGATTTACGACCATAATCCGTTCCAGAAGATGGATGTAACTCGAAATGGTCATAAGTCGAAGCACCATTTCCCATAGGAACACATTAAATGCAATTAATCTGTTCTGCCGAAAGAAAAAAAATCACCAAAATTAAAATGACTGCAAGACTTATAGGAAAAGAACACATTAAATGCAATTAATCTGTTCTGCCAAAAGAAAAAAATCACCAAAATAAAAATGACTGCAAGACTTATAGGAAAAGCGATTAATCCCTTCTGACCAAAGGGAGGGGGGATAAAGAAAAGCAATCAAGTGTGCAGGACCCATTGGAAATGCACAGAAAACAGAGTAGACTGGAAGTGCACAGAGAACAAAGGGGGCAGGTCAGAAATGTAAAGGAAACAAAGGAAAAAGCAAGGGAAGAAATGGGGGGGAACCCCAAAAGCAACCAACTCCCCAAGACCCATTGGAAATGGGCGGCAGCTAAAAAAAACCCCAAGACCCATTGGAAATGGGGAACCCCCAAAAAAGCAAACAAACCCCCCAAGACCCATCGGAAATGGGGGGAAGCCAAAAAAACAAAGCAAACCCCAAGACCTATCAGAAACGGGGCAAAAAAAACCCAAACAAACAAACCCCCAAGACCCATCAGAAATGGAAAACACACTCCCAAAAGCAACAAAAAAAACAAGATTCATTGGAAATTGGAGAAAAAACCAAAACACAAACAAAAAACACCCAGAACAGTTTTTAAAAAGCAGAAAACAGCACCTTACCTTACCAGGCAGCCCGAAGCCTCCCTGCAAACACACACACACGCTCACGCAGAAGCGAGGCAGCCCCAAGCCTATGACGACGACACACACTCTCTAACTGCTGGAGCGAAAGAGCTACAAAGAAGCAGCCTCGTCGCCACCTGCAGTTAGCAATTTGAATTTCCTGCCTTTTTTTCCCCCTGCCTTTTTCTGTTCGTAAGTGGAAGCTATGGCTGCAAGTAGAAGCAAAATTTTGCGACCGGAGCTAGTCGTAACTCAAAATGGTCGTAAGTAGGGACATTCGTAAGTCGAGGCACCACTGTATTTAAAAAAGAATCTTTGGAAACTTTACCTCTTCCAGAAGAACCTCTCCATTGTTATCCTTGTCAATTTCTTTAAAGAGATTGGGAGATACTTCCTCATGCCATACAAACATATATCCTTCAGGTAAGCCAGACACCAAATCAAGTAGTTCAATGTCAAAAACTAGTACAGCACTACCTGGCACTTCTCCTTCTGGAATAATAATTGACAGAAATAATTGTTAACCTCTGTTATGTGAGAACACTGAAGCATTAGTATGAAGCAAGAGATTCTAATTCTACCACTACCAGCATACACAAGTTGTGCAAATGATACCAAATATATAAGTATCATCTCAACCATTGAGATACATACAAAAATAAGACCTATGGGTCTGAAGGAAACAAGCCAGGTTTTTTTTTTCCCCTTAGAAGGCATAGAAAGCTTTGTGATTATTTGCGTGTTTTGGACATAAAGTGGAGACATCTGCTAATTTATATTCAACACATATCTTGCTTTGTTATTTGAGACTACGCTCAACATTCCATAGGTTTTCATTACACAAATATATGCCAATTTCTCATGTTAAGAATAGGACTTTTTGTCTAATTTTTGAAGATAAAAGGCTGTTTATTGTACTGTAATTAATGAAACATTTCTGAAAAACAGAATATCAGTCCCACAAGTCCTCTTTCATTATCCTGTATCATTGAGCCAATGAGCAGAACAAACAAGGATAAACTAGTCTGTTTAAATAATAAAATGAAGATGCACCACAAAACTGAACTGTGGCAGTCAGTGCAAAGGAATGTTAGATAAATGCATGTGTCAATGAGCACTGATATCATAGCTTCAGGATACTGAATACCAGGTGTGAAATGTTCCATACGTACCAACTCCAGCCTCTCCATAACCAAAGTGGGGTGGAATAACAACTGTTCTTTTCTCACCAACACACATATCTGTGAGACCTATATCCATTCCCAAGACTACTTGTCCAGAACCAAGAACTATGTTATAGGTTTTCCCAAGGCTGTATCTGCCAAAAGAAAGGAAAAGAGAAAAAAATCAAAGTATGATATTCTAATAAAATGGCAATGGAATACTACTTATTCTAGCTTTCTGATGCTTTTCCTCATCCTCCTCCAATTTATATGGGATAAGTTCATAATTACTAGGCCTTTGCAAGAAATAAGTTAAGTATATGGTAATATACAAAACTGATTACGGAACTGACCTCAGAGTTCAAGAGCATAGTCTCATGGACGCAAAACATGCCCTCTACATTTTATTGAACTATTATTCCCATAATCCCTCATGGTTGGCTGTGCTTCCTAGTGCTCCTAAGAAATGTAACCCCAAAACTTCTAAGAAGCAACACATTCCCCACGATACAGTCTACATTATTCCTTCCTATCACCATTCCTATTCTATCATGCTGATTCCACAGAGTGGTACAGTTAGGAAGTGATCTGACATTGCCTGTCAGTACAAAAAATCCATAGCTAAAGCAGTGCTGGTAGAAAACTATCATGCTTAAAAACTACTAAAAATAATCTGCTATACTACAAGGTAGTCTGTTCCACTGTCAACAGCTCTTACTGCCAGGAAGTTCTTCGTAATGCTTAGCCTAATTTCCCCTTTGAATTTGAACTCATTGGCTTGGATCCTATTATCTCAAACCAACATAAAAAACAAGTATGCTCCACAGGACACACATAACTCCCTTGGGGCTGTTTTAGCAGACCTTAGACTCCTCCCATATCTCTTTCCATACTCCATGCCAAAATTTCGAGTGGGGTGGAAGTGTCTTTTCCATTCCTGGAGCCCTACAAGATAGGCAATTCTGTTAAAACAAGGTGCAATCCCTCCAGCCTTGCAAAATAAAAAGTGGAAGTGGACCTCTAATGTATGTATGTGTGCATTGCAGGGGTTCATACAGCCCATTATATGTCCTGAGAGCCAAAAATTTGATCACTATGTGGCAGCTCTTCAAATCCTTGTTAATATCAGATCTCCAATATTTATCCTCCAGATTAAACATACTCAGATCTCTCAGCATTAGATCTCTCAGCATTCTTAGCAGATTCTAGAGTTTTCATCTTCTTTACTACTCTATTCATATTCCACCTTGATGACACATTTCTTAAGCTATGACAATGGAACATTTTGTATATATTTCATTCTGTTTCTTAATGTCTGACAAAGTGGATGGGTCCACAAAAGCTTACATTAAAATACAATGGTTTATCTTTAAGGTAGCACATGTTTTTGTCTTGTTTTGTTTTCTTTCTTTGAATTTTGCCTGATATGCTTGCACAGACTAACACGGCTACCTCTTCCAAAACTATGCCCAGAACAGAATTCCAAGCAAGGCTGGTGGAAGCAGGACTTCTGTCAGTTCTGCTTAAAATGTGATTAACTTATTTGTGTGTAAAAACAAGTATGCTCCACAGGACACACATACTGTATTTGTGTGTGTTGCACCACTGTTAACTTGTGGAATAATAAGACCCCTATATGTGTTACAGGCACACTGCTGCCCAGACAGATATCAGTCATCATATTTTGTATATTTTATTCCATCTGCATGTACCAAAATTCAGTTTATTTCCTCACATCACTATCTTGAATATTGCTTGCATCTTCTGAGGTATTAGGTTCTCTGTCCCAGTTTGGTGTCATCTCCAGATCTGGTAAGCATCCTCTTCTGCTTCATTACTTAAGATATTTATAAAGATGTGGAACAAAACCAGGCTAAGAACTGAACCCTGTGGCACCCCACTAGTTAATTATCTCAAGAATGACAAGAAACCACTGGTCAGCTGTAGGTGATCACAGAACAAAAAAAAGGCTAATGATGTGGGTGATCACAGACAACTAGGAAAGCAATTAGCTTTACAGAGAAGTTGCAAAGAAGTCTACACGCAGATGTCCGCCAGCGGAGCCCTAAAAGGCAACGCCCTGAGAACTCTTTTATTAACTTAGCAAGGGTTACATTGTATGTTGTGAGAATTCAGATAGGATACTGGTTACCTAATCGCCACTAGGATTGGCCAGGGAAAGTCTTTGAACCTATGACCTAAAAGGCAGAATGAGAGGTCACCCCACCCATCAGAAGCCACTGCTCTCTGCCAGGAGAGTTTGCTCATCAATGAAAACAGATAACAGCTAATGGCCTTGGGCAGGAGCTTCCCACAGTAAACACCCTCTGGTTATGGCCCATCGACTAGCTACAAATCCATCTGACAGTATCTTCATCTAGCCCGCATTTTTAAAACTTATTTGAGGGGCCTTGCTCAAATCAAGATGTGTACATACACAGCATTCCCATGACCTAACAAAAAAGAGATTCATCTAGAATAGCTTATTTCTGAAAAAAACTTGCTCCCAGGCTGACTGCTAACCATTTTTTCTAGAACAGTGGTTCTCAGGATCCAAGATGTTCCTGGAAACCCTCAGAAATTCTGGCCTTGGCCTGGTGAAGGCTTCTGGTAGTCCAATAACATCTGGGGACCCAAAGTTGGGAACCACTGTTCTAGAACATTTCCTGATATTAACATCAAGCTTACGGTGAGTAGTGCCTGCATCCTCCTTCCAGTTTTTTTATTTTCAGTATTTTCCTGTATGCTCTGAAAGTGAGCTGCTAGCCGACCAATCAGAAACAGCCAGCAGTGCTGGGGGCAGAGCTCCTGATCTGGCCAACCTCATTCCTGCAATTTACAATCCAACCCACCAGACAGGAATTATATGGAGGCTCCAGGCACCTCTCAGACAGTGTTTGGACACTGGACACCCATCCACACACCCTTCTTCTATCTGTGAGGCCATATGTGTAATTTTTAAGGGGCTGAGGAGTTGAAGATAATTGATGTGTATACAGTTGCCACTATTGGTGGCAGTGAAACGGAGAGACAATTGTGTACACAGGAGCAGACCTTAAGTGACGGAGACAGGCATTTGTCCCTATCCCAACCATGGGATTTTCTATAGGTATGGAGCAGGGGACTGCTCCTATACTTTTCTGCTGCAACTAATTTAAAGAGTGGCCTTTTTTATATCCACTATCCATTTTTTCTTCAATAACACTGTAAACGTGGAATAGCATGTGAGTGTTTATCCAACCTGGGTATATGTGTGTGTTCCTGAATTATTTCACCAGGGTCCACAATATCCAGGCCAGTCTTATGGATCACTCTCATCCTCCCAGGTTTTGTTAAAAAAAAAATGGCTTCCTGCATTGTTCAAATTTCTTTTCTTTATTATTTCCCATATTCTGTATGATGATATAGTGTAGGGAACATATGAACTGAGTTATTTGCCCAGCCACTTCTTAATTATAATTCTTACTGCACATATGAACTAAAAATAAATAACTTATAAAAATAAGTTAGCAGAATTCACCAATTTGTATAATTGTTTTCCAACTTTGATTGTTCTCTAATTCTTTACTTATTCAATAAAAGATTATATACTTACGTTGAGTCTAATAAAGTACCATCCAGGAGCGAGGCATTGTAATGATACTTCACATAATCACCTTTCTTGCTCAGTACTGAACAGTTGCTAGGTTTGTAATGGGTGGTAATAGCAACAGAATCTGAAGGATTGTGGAAGTCTATCACCTGAATGTCAAAGACCAACACAGCAGATCCTGGAATATTTCCTATAATAATGAACATTCACAAGAAAATGAAACATCCACTCCTCCCTTACTGATCGCGTATCCTTGTAACAAAAGACTCAAATAGACTAAAAATATTAACTATAAGCATATCTCCAAAATCCATGCTGAATTGTGTGGAAGAAACCTTTAAGGTCTTCTGAAACATTTTATGTTTTTCCATTACCAGAAAAAAAACACGAATTTCAAGAGATATTAAATAACTGTTGCCTGTCATCACCAGTCCTATCATGCTTCAGGGAAGAAGGATTAAGCAGAACCAGAACAACTGAACCAGATGAAATTGTCCTTTTTATTGAGCCTTTGAAAGCTAATGTAAGCCTTCAGGTTTCACAGAATGTTGGGCAATAGCCTATATGCAACACACCTGAAATAAAGAAAGCAGAACAAATTTAAAACTGTTTGCAATTCTAATTTTATGTCTGGATTCAAGACACGCACTTTAGGACAGCTGCACAAATCATCAATCCTCCCATTAGATCAGAAATCGAAGAAAAGATTCCCTTGAGTGTGTCCTGTTTAGATTTACTTTTCATGTCTGAAGTCAGTGTTATATAAAGAGACTTTTAATGGTTACTTTCCTGGTTCCTATTCATTATTTATGGGGTGTGTCATTTAGGCTACAAACATGAGCTCTGTGTAACTCTTCCACTGAGAGTTGCAGCATTTATTTCAATGAAATGAAATGTGTGTCACATGCGCATCATATTTTTTATACCTGAACTAAATTTGTGTGTCCTCAGTGCTAAATATTATTTAATTATTCTTCTCTAATACCAGCAGAGGAAAACAACAGTTGTGTATTGAGGCTCATATTGTCATTTTAGTGGTAAAAACATCCACTTCATTTAAAAATTGAATATTGAATTTTACAAATATGTCAGCAAAAGTCTTGATTATGCTGATGATGAACTTAACTGTGCTCTTACTTGGCTTTAATTCTGCTAGTCACTGAAAATCAAAATTCCTTCTTTTCTTTATTTTCAGCCTCATAATCACTTTTCTTTGAGGTATAATAGAAGAAAACATACTAATGGGAAGAACGACAGGTTACCACCTGTAACAGCAGTTCTTCGTATGGACCTCTGTGATTCACACCCTGGGTGAGCCGCGTCTGTGCAGAGCCTCATTGGAAAGTTCTAGAGATTCTGTGGTAGCAAAAAACACATTGGCATAAGACCCCTCTCCCCTCTTGGTACCAAGGCTCCCCTTTCAGTTGTGTCAACCACCGCTACATTAAGCAGAATGGCTTGGCAGTGGGGCGGGACAGGCGGGATGTGTGAATCACAGAGGTCCACTCAAAGAACTACAATTACAGGTGGGTAACCTGTCGTTCTTCTTCGTGGCCTCTGTGACTCACACCCTGGGTGACTAAAAAGCAGTCTTACCCAGAGGCAGGTTGTCACGCCAAGGTAGAGGCTAGAACAGCACATCCGAAGGCCACATCAGACTTCTGCTGGAGAGCAAGTCTATAATGCTGGATGAAAGTGGACGGCTGTACCCAGGTGGCAGAGGTGCAGATGTCTGGAAGAGGTACACCACGTAGGAATGCTGTAGAGGTTGCCATTGCTCTGGTGGAGTGAGGGTGAATCACCATCCGGACTGGTTTGCATGCCAGCTGATACACGAGGTGAATGGTTGAAGCGACCCATCTGGATAAAGTTTGAGACACCACGTGATGACCTTTAATAGGTGGTTTGTGACTTATGAAAAGTCGAGGTGAACGCCTGAAAGGTTGGGTGCACTGGACGTAAAAGGCAAGGGCTCACCTAACGTCTAAAGTAGGGAGGATTCTTTCTTCAGTTGTGGATGGCGACAGGAAGGAAGGAAGGAAGGATAAACGGCTGAAAGAGATGGAATTGACATATGACTTTGGGGAGGAAAGAAATATCCATGGATAGTTTGATTTTGTCCGGAAAAAACTGTAAATAAGGATAGTCATGATGTAAGGCCACTAAATCACTACCTCGTCGAGCTGAGGTGATGGCGACAAGGAAAACTGTTTTAATGTAGCCATAAATCAGTTGAAGCCAAAGTTTCAAAAGGAGCTTTAATAAGTTGTTGCAGTACTAGTGTTAGTGACCATTGCGGGGAAGGCGGGCGGGTATCTGGGTAGATATGAAATAGACCTTTAAGAAAACGTTTCAATGTTAGATGTTTGAAGAAATCAGCTGCCGTACAGTTAGAGGGCTGATAAGAAACTATGGCGGAGAGGTAAATTCTCAAGGAAGAGAGGGAAAGGCCGCTAGACTTGAGATGAAGCAAAAAAAGGTAGAACAGTAGCAAGTGCTGGGTTGATAAAAGGCAATGAAGAAGCTTCAATGAAAGATTTGAATCTGTTCCATTTATACAAGTAAGCCTTTCTAGTGCAGGGCTTCTTTGATTGACAGAGGACGTTTATTAGTGAGGCGGAATCCTCCACGCTACCAGGTGCAGAACAGGTAAGTCTGGGTGGAGTATTTGGGCATTGTTCTGCTTGAGGAGGTGGATCAGGCGAGGGAGGTGGTGAATGTCTGTTGACAGATTGTGAAGGTCTGGAAACCAGGGTTGTCTCGGCCACCAAGGGGCTATAACGATGGCATCGGGTTTGTCTTGTTGTAGGTGAACCACAACCTTGTGGAGAAACAGGAATGGTGGAAAAAGGTAAGTGAGGGTCTTGGGCCATTGGCCCGACGAATGCATCTCCTTGGGAGTTTGCCAATGCCAGCTCAGGAGTATTGTTTGCACTTCTGATTCACATGGGAAGTGAAGAGGTCAAGAGTTGGTTTGCCCCATCATTCACACAGGCGAAGAAAAACTGATTGGTCTAACTCCCATT